TGCCCTCGCGGCCAAAAAGAGAAACCGAAAAAGAAAAAAAGAAAAGGAAAAAAGCGCAAACGCTCGTCGGATTTTGTCGCGAGGAATGAATTTAGCTTACCGTTGCGTTCGAAATTACAAAATACATTCATTCTTGGAGCAATACTTATAGTAATAAGTTTCAATCACGGGGCAAGAGAAAAACAGGGGAGGAGACAAAATACAAAAAAAAAAAAAAAAAGAAAAAAAAAGAAAACAAAAAACGAGGGAGAAGGCGCTTTTTCAAGTATTTCATTAAGCCAGCCGCCACTTTTTTCCCCGTCGAAGCAAAGCACCTGCACGCGCGAGATTTTCGTGTTGTTTGCCGATACTTTGTCGACGAAAGCGATGTTCCATTAAGATTCTTTTTAAAGCAGAAACGATCGGGATGAGAACGGACTCCTAATTATCTACATCGACGGCTTCGCTCGCCCGTGAACGCGCAGCATCCCGCCTCCTTAAGCAGAGACTCGACGCTTTACGTACGCTTTACGCCGTCGGGCGACCGGGGCGATAGTATTTTCGGTCGGGTTCGATATAAAAATGAGCGAATCAGGCCCGGGTAATCGATACACAGCCCCGGCAATAGCCCATTAAAGCCCGTCGGAAGAATACTAAGCCGGGGAAGGATGCGTCATCCTTTCTCGTTTAATTGCTTTCACCAAACCAATTGCGCTGGCGAATGACGGACGATCCTCGCGCCTTGACGAACGCCCTACTCCTTTCAATTCGGTCTACGACGTAAATATCGGTGTCGCGACGGACTAACGGGCCACTCGGGGAGAAAGGCGGAGTCTCTCGTAGGAACCGGAAACGTTACCCCGGTGGCTCGCACACTCGCGCGTGTCCTCTCGTCTTACGACGGGGGCAGACAGGTTGATCGATCGGAACGATTCTAAGGCTGAGGGCAACACACGAGCGACTTTCACTCGGCTTTTGATATTGCCAGCCGTGCGAAATACCGTTAGGTGGATAATAACGTCATTCTTTTCCTTTATTGCTCTAGTGTATCGTTTACGAGTTTTTGCGCGGCTTTTTCAGGACTGTCGAGCTTACCCGGCCGTTGCAAAAAATTAAATATAATTACGTGCATGTTTCATGCGTGCCTCGGGTATATAAATTCAGTCGGAAAGTCATCAATGAATTTCACGCTCCCGTACTCGAAAATCGATTCTCGCGTTTCTCGCTTAGAATTAGCCAATGTAAAGGCCGAACGCGCCCGAAGCACTTTTGACAGGCGTGACTTTAAGCTTTTCGGCTTATGTCTACTAGCGCACGAGGGCTTCAAAGCATTTATGTATCCCATTATGTTGCGGATATCTGCGTAAACGATACACATCATCCTCTCCATCGATGATCTACGATTGAAAAATGAATTTTATGCTCTGCACGCATTCCTAAGTAAGACTGTGCGATTTAATGTGTACACATGGCAGCTCGAGCATTTATCAACGATAGATAAACATTATCCAAAATATATACTAAACATACCATTTATTATTGTACGTATCTTAATTAAAAATTATTTACACGTACGTGGAATAATGCGGGATAAAGAGTATCGTCTGGTCATATTTCAGACGCGGTAAGGATAGACTCACTGTATTTCAATTTCCGACAAATTACCCGATTAACTTAACGTACTGTAGCGCGAGTTATTCGCCCCTCGAGCTTATATTTTAGGCTCAACTTAATTTGATTCGATGCTATTAAATCCAAAGGCTGCCGTGATTAAATAAGAAAATATGATGCATTTTATTTTATACCCACATGAATATGAAAAATAAGCGCCGAACGAACACGACTCGGCACTCCGACACCGATATATGCCGTTATAGAAAAAAAGTATTTATAATTATAAAAGTATATACAATTATCCTCCCCCCCCCACCCCCCATGCATCACTAACGTACTCTATCTTGATAATATTTCGCTCTAATCCTCACTTTTCCCTCATCGATAATATCAATGGAAAATATGCAGGCCGGCCACTTGGAAGCGAAAGAATACGTCAAAGACAAGGAGGGCGAGAGCTAGTCCCGATGAATCGGCTACTTAAATCCGCGCCTTGAACACTCTCGACACTCGCGCGGGGCATTTCTTTCTTATTACGATTGGCATTTCTCAGCGCATAAACATAAAGCAAACTAAAAGCGGTGCGCGTCCTCTTACGGATGAAATTTATGCGCCTCGCTCGAGGCGAGCTAATGCGGCGCACGCGAGGCACATCGGAATGGCGGAGTCGTGTGCGCGGCTTTTCTTCCCTCCGCGACTCCGCTCGTGGATTTTGCAAAATGACCCGTCGCGTGGGCAAAACAAAAGACTACTGGGCCTTTGTTCTCCGCTTGATGCGCTGCATCAAGTCGAGCCTCCCCCGCTCGCCTTTATCTCTTCGTCGTGAGGCATGGCTCGCGACCCTGTCGACCGATCTCCTCTCGTCGTACGCCTTTTCATTAGGATTCG